CAGGAGTAACTCCTGAGTGCAGAGCCAGGAGTAACCTCTATGCATCACCAAAAAGGAAAAAAAAAAAAGAACTTTTCTGACCCTTATGTGTCAACATATAATTTAGGGATCATGCCCATCATCCCAAATTTTCTGAAATATCATTAATAGTATAGAACTGTAATAAAAGAACTGTAACTCTATCAAGATACCTACACAGTTTAGGAGATTTGGGGTAAAGGTTTTTGTTTTAAGTAAATTAACACATCCCAATGACTGTACACTCCAATAAGGTACTGTTGGATCTAGAAAGGGCTTCATATAAGTGAACTATCTACTTACCCATCAGTGGTTTTCCATCCTGGCTGTCAGTTAGAATTCAGATAGCAAGGAAGCTCCATTGCTTACATTACACCTCAAGCCAGTGAGAGAAGACATTAGGGCTTGTGATACCCAGTTGATTTCAGTCTGCACCCAAGATTAGAGCCTCTCATCCAGGGTTTGATATTTGTTTGGTATATCACCATAACCTACGTATTGTAGAACTACCCATTAATGTCTGAGTGTACTTGACTTTTGTATAGTGGAGGTAACTTTGCAGGATGAGTTAGGATCAAATTAGAAGCTTGCTTCTATCTATACCAGTTAGATTAATGTGAACAGATATTTTACTATGATCTGAAATTTCATCCCAGCTTTAGCATTAATCTTTAACACATACTAAATTATAATAATTTTCAGGTATTTTCTCTATCACATCAAGAAGTTATTAGACGCAACATTTCAGTGCACTTATTTGGATTTAAGTGATCACGTGATAGAGAGACCTTTTAAAAGCTTGACAGACAGCTAATGACTCTCCCTTGAGAAGATGTCAATATTATGAATTGAAATTCAATTGGGTTGATGTTGATATTTCTATGATCTACATAATAACTTTTAGTAGAACAAGCCTTGTTAATATATCCCGGATAATTTAAGCCTACTTAAGGAAAATATTTTGAATTATTGTTGGATTTGGTTCACTAAAATTTTGTTGAGCTGACACTTTGCATCAGTGTTCATTGGGGATATATAGTCTATAGTTTTCTGTTTAGAAATATTTTTGCTTGTAGTATTTATGTTGGCTTCATAGAAGCTGTTAGGAAGTATTTCTATTTGATGTTTTGGAAGAGCTTGAAGAGTATAGGTGGTAAGTTTTCTTTGAAGATTTCATAAACTTCACTAGAGAACCCATATCTGCTTAGGAGGTTTAAGGACTCCTTTGGCAATTCTTGGTCAACCAAAGATGTGGTGTTGGTGTATTCTGTGATGCTGGGGACTACCTAGAACATACCTATGGAGCCCAGGGGCCTCAAGGGTTGCATCTGTGTTGCTCAGGGACGAGTATGTACCAGAGATTGTATCTGGGTCAGCTACATGTACCTTAACCACTGTACTATATCTCTCCAGTCCCTGAGATTTTATTCTTGGAGAGATTTTTAGTTGCTATTTCTATTTCCTTACTTGTTATCAGTCTACCCAGTTTTCTGTTTTTTATTTTTCCTGACTCAGTCTTGGAAAGTTGTACATTTCTAACAATTTGTCAATTTTTTCTATGTTCTCCAGCTTAGTGGTGTCTGCTGTAATTTCTCTTTTATCTCTTATCTAATGGGAGAGGGGTCCTTTCTCTTTCTTTGTATTTGTGTCTCTAGCTAAAGGATTATCAATTGTTTGTGTGTGTGTGTGTGTGTGTGTGTGTGTTTAATTTTGAAATATCAGATCCTGCCTTAATTTACCCTTTGCATTGCTTTCTTGATTCTTATATCATTGCTTTCTTGCTCTGATTTTTAATATTTCCATACTTCTATTACTTTGGGATTTTCTATTCTTTTCCTACTTTCTCAAACTTTGAGATTAGGATTTTATTTATTTAAAGGGTTTTTTTTCCCTGTTTCCTGATGTAAACCTGCATTGATAAGAACTCTTTATACTGCTTTTGCTGTGTCCCATATATCTGATATTTTGTGTCTTTGTTCTTGTTCATATTTTATTTATTCTTTGATTTCTTCTTTGGCCTAATAGTTCCTTAACAGTAATAAGCTGTTAAGTTTCTAAATCTTGGAGCTTTCCCTAACACTCTTATGATTATTTCTACTTTCAGCCCAAGAAATAGTTTAACAGGATGAACACATGTGTTTCATATAGGAGACCCATTATTTTGATTCCTGATACCACCTGGTTTCCTGAACACTGCCAGGAGTATCATCTGAGCACAGAACTAGGAGTAGCCCCTGAATACCACAGGATGTCACCCCAGAAACCAAGAAGAAATCCTACCTTCTTGACCTTGTGCTCTATACTGAAAATACACTTGATATGATTTCTACTTTTGTGACTTTATGGACATTCCAATTGTGTTCTGCACATGGTCTGTCTTGGAGAATATTTTGTGTGCATTGGAAAAGAATGTGTATTTGGCATTTTAGAGGTGAAAGGTCAAGTATGCGTCTATAAATCCCTGTTCTTCCAATTTCTCACTTAAGACTCCTCTTTTCTTTTCATTTTTTTTAAAAGACTTTAAGACAGTGATCAGATTTATTTATTTATTTATTTACTTATTTTGCTTTTTGGGTCACACCCGGCAATGCACAGGGGTTACTCCTGGCTCTACATTCAGGAATTACCCCTGGCGGCACTCAGGGGACCATGTGGGATGCTGGGAATCAAACCCGGGTCGGCCGCATGCAAGGCAACCACCCTACCTGCTGTGCTGTTACTCCAACCCCAAGACTCTTGTTTTCTTATTGATGTTCTATCTGGTTGATTTGTCCAGTGATAAGAGTGATGAAGTCTCCCCTATTACAATATAGCCATCAGTGTATCTCCTCTAGTCAGGTCTGTTAGCAATTGCTGTATAAACTTTGCTTCCCCTCCATTCTTCCTTGTCATTTCCTTTCTCTTTAATTATTCAAACTGATAACAAATATTTTGTTTGCAAGTGTCCTTAAAATGTTGTAAAAGGAAGTTCTACTTCAAGTACTAATTCACAGATTCCTCAGGTTTCTTACAGGGATGTGACTTTGAACTACATCTTATTGTTACCCTCATGTTCCTTGGCTTCCTGCTAAGCTTCTTAGAGCAGAGAGTGTGCTTTCTTTTTTTATGGCTTATAATATAAAGTTGGTTTTACCCCTGACTGGTATTAAACCAGCCATTTTTTTTTATTTAAATTTTCAAATTTTATTTTTTTTCATGTTTTTATAATTTTATTTATTGAATCACTATGAGAGCAGTTACAAAGCTTTCGGGTCTAAGTATCGGTCATACAATGAAACACCCATACCTTCACCAGTGCCCATTCTCCACCACCACAAACCCCAGTATACCCCCATCCCACTCCCTCCCCCTACCTGTGGGGCAGATGATTTCCACATTACTCTCTCTCCACTTTGACCACATTCAATATTTTGACACCAGACCCACCATTATTATTTGAGATTTACCCCAACACTCAGATCTGCTGAACAGGCAACAGTAGACAATTTGTGTGTTCTATTGCTGGTTATGAATAACATATGATGTCGTGTAGCTGCAGTAGGCCCATGTGATTTTGAAATTCCGAAATTTTAACACTTAAATCTGGGGGGATTTCTGCCAAAAGCTGCTGGGCTTCTAGATTTGTTTCTGAGTCTCTGGGATCGTGGCCGTTAAGCAGTTTGATCAGGAGCCAAAGAGGCTGTTCTTGGGCAATGACTTGGGGTCTCGTTGAGGTGGGGAGGACAGGCCTGGCTCCACCCCCGTCCCACGAGGCCCTGCATGTCTCGTCACTGGGGGCCCAAACCTGACTGTCCAGTGGCCTCTGAAGGATAGTGGCCACTGGGCCACCGGGGGGAACAGGCCAAGGCACGAAACCTATTCCCACCTGGGTTGGCCCAGCACTGGTAACCTACTGCAGGGACCGGACGCATTTCTGCCAAAAGCCACTGGGTTTCGAGATTTGTTTCTGAGTGTCTGGGATCATGGCCATTAAGCAGTTCAATCAGGAACCAGAGAGGCCTTGCCTCCAATTATATAGCTGAGCTGGAGGTCGTTTGTGGGTGTGTTTCCCACATACCTAACTTTTGGCCATTTACTTTCTTGGTAAACTTTTCCCCAAATTTTTGGGGTCTGGCCAAAGACACAGCAGCAATTTTGGCGCCATTAGGCTGCTGATGCACTCACCTCACAGGTACAGATTGACCTGCTGGCGGCACCATACCCCCAATTTTCAAATTTTCATGGTCCTCCCGTTGTTCATCGATTTGCTCGAGCGGGCCCAGTAACGTCTCCATCATGAGACTTGTTGTTACTGTGTTTGGCATATCGAGTACATCACAGGTAGCTTGCCAGGCTCTGCTGTGCGGGCGAGATACTCTCAGTAGCGGGCTCTCTGAGAGGGGCAGAGGAATCGAACTCGGGTCAGCCATGTTGGCTGCGTGCAAGGCAAATGCCCTATCGCTGTGCTAATTAATTGGTGTTTACAATTAATTGATCACAGCCAGATTTCAAATTTTAAACCATAATTTTTCTTAGGTGTGAGACGTATGAGCACCAACTCTGTTAGATATTTAACCCAGAGTTTCACAATACCCAGTGACACATTGGAGATGTATGCATATCCTTTTGTTAAGCCAGAACTCCTAAGTCCTACTGGAGTCTCTGCTATTACTGCGGGCCCCATTCTTGTGTGTGGAAAATAGCACAGGATCGTTTCATGAAGAATAAGAGCCCTACAGCTATGACTCTCTCTGAGCAAGTTGTGGAAATAGAACACCCTTGTTACTCATTCTTGAGATTAGTGATGTGTTGGTAAAACATGTCCTGGAGTGCCCCTTTGATGCTGTTCTGTGGATTTCAGAGTTCTTAAAAAGCAGACTCTTCTCTGAGTTTCTGGGGTCTCAAATAGACTGAGTTACCAAATTAGCAACGCAGAAGTTGGAACAAAATGTGAAGAGCATCATCATTGCCTTACCTGCTTCATGCTTTATACTTTTTTTCAGAGTGCAAATTCACCTGCACCAGCGGTAAATGCTTGTATCTTGGTTCACTGGTCTGTAACCAACAGAATGACTGTGGGGACAACAGTGATGAAGAAAACTGTCTCCTGGTGACTGAACATCCACCTCCGGGCATCTTCAACTGTAAGTGCCTCCTTCTTTTTATATGTTTAGCAGGAAAGGGAAGAGAAGGAAAGGGAAATGGAAGGTTATTATTTTGATTAAGAAAAAAGATTTGATGGCCTGGAGAGGTAGTGCAGGGGTTGAAGTGGCTGCCGTGCATGCAGTTGACCCCGTATTAATCTCAGGCGCCTCATTTGTTCTCCCCAGGCTTGCCCAGGGTCACTCCTGAACAAGGAGCCAGGAATAATCCAAAAGAAAAAAGATTTGCATTTTTAGAAAGGCAATGTTTTTCTTCCTTTAGGAAAAAAAGATGTTTATAAGTGATAAATCCATTTTATTTTCAGAACTGTGTTTTGGAATTGATAAATAGAACTTTACTGATTATCTTGTACATGCTAAATAGATTCTGAGAAATAGTCACTGAGTATTCTTCATACTAGCCTTATGGAATTTTTAAAGTAATTTGAAGTAATTCAGGAAGGTGTGGGGACTAAACCCCAGAGTCTTTTACCTGCAAAGCATCCCCAGTCTTAAGTTAAAAAAAAATTAAAAAATCTTAAGTAACCAAGTAAATATACATAGAGAGTCCATAAATGATCATGTAATTTAAATATGAAAATTAAAAATATATATGAGACTCTTAGAAAATGTTCTGCTCGTGTGTTCTTCTGTTTGATACTGTTGTAAAACAGCTTTAGTATTTATTTTCATAAGTACCCGACTGAGGTTTTGAACATTTCTTGAACTTGATAAAGGTGAAATCAGAAACTGAAATTCATTTGATCTTTAATCTCATGGTTTTTATGAAGAGAAAGGAGAAAGAAGACAGCTATAAACTTTGCTAAGTTCTCTTAGGAAATGGCTTTTGTTTGTTGTTTCCTTGAAGTAGGTTGAGGTGAGGACTTTTCTTTGCAGCATGTCCTGGAGGAATGTTTGCAGAACTAATCCTCTTTATGGATGTTTCTTACTGAGGTCCTTTCCGGAAACATTCAATTTCTCTCCCTAATTTTGCTGACATTATTTTGAGAAATAACATTTGTCTTAATTTACAGATTATGCAATTATACATGGAAACCAGTCTATTCTATATTATACTGATATTATTCTGTGAAATACAAGATTTTGGGGTGGAAAGTTGTGCTAATCTAGCAGTGTAAAGGGCTTATGTCAGACCCTGCACTCTGGGATCACTCTGAGAAGTATCTCAGAGACTATATGTAGTTCCAAATTCGAACCTCTGTTGGCTGTACCTTGTTCCCTGTGCTATCTCTCTGGCCCATGAAACAGGAGATTTCTTTAAAAACAATTATTTTACCTATTCCTACTGTATTTTTTATACTGGAGACAAGCTCTGAAAATTATTGTGCCTAGATAATTTTAAGCCTACTCTTTTTGCTTCCTAAATTCAAGACCCTAGCAGTGCAAACATTTTCTTCAATTTTTCCTGTCATATGTTTCCATCTTCTTATACTAAGTGTTCTTAGGGTTCCATCTCTATTTGAGAAGAAAATTGCAGACTAGGTATATGTGCTTTCTTGGTATGTGCTTCCTCTGTGCTGCCTCTGGTGCTATTTTGTGCCATAGTCCTTGCAGTTGTCAAGGCTGTAATTTGTCAGGGCTGTTTGCCTGGTTGCAGGGAGGGGCTTTGGTTGGAGGCTAAAGTGAGTGGTGCATTGGGCTGCCAACATGACCTCTGGAGTGGGCTTCTGCCCCTGCCACTTCACTTATCCAGTAGTCTGGTTGGGAAGCTCAATGTCTCATCCTGAGACTGGGTGAGGTCGGGTTACATGTGTAAGTCCATGTGAAGCACTCAGGAAAGTGTCTGAATCTTTTTTATTATTATTATTTTGGTGGAGGGTATATATCCTAAGCAATGCTCAGGATGCTTGGATCCACTCTTGATAATGCTTATTCCACTGAGCTGGACAGTTCTATGCTTGGCCTGGTGATTCAGTGCTGCTCACACCAGCACTGTTGGGGCCATCAGCACCACCTCCTGTGGTGCTTGTGGTGATTGGGGGGTGGAGGGGAAGGGGAGGGCGTTAGAGCTTAAACTCAGGGCCTGGTGCATGCAGCCCAGACCTGTGGCCTATCTGCCTAATCCCTAAATAGAATATTGCCAGGATATTCATCACTTTTGAGCTAGGTTGGCTTAGGAGAAGAGCAGTGTAAAGGCAAATTCAGTGTGTCTTGTGGACTTGAATAAGAGGAAGTGCATGCATGATAAATTGTGAATAGAATACTATGACTTGATTGAATTTTAGAGTTCTTTGCAAAAAACAGGCAGATAAAATTTTGATTGTCTGCCCTGGGTACTTCATAAGCTATTTCTGAGGTATCTTTTTTGTTGGGGATTGACCTCTCCCAGGAGGGGGTGGAGGGAGGCGGTCACACCTGATGAAGCTCAGTAAGCCATGTGGTGCTGGGGATAAAACCTGGGTCATGCACATGGTGCCTTAATCACTGTACCCTCTCCTGACTTCTCCTCCTCTGTATTGTGAAGCTACTTTTCCTTTACTTCAAGCTTCTTTTACTGTTGTCGTTTTATTATGCTCAACTATCTTTCCTTCCTTTCTTTCATGCTCCCCTCTCATGTCAGTATTGTTTTATTTCTTAGTTCATAAACCTATTTGCATTTATCTTTTTCATTTATTTCATAAATATTTAAACACTTTTATGTTTTTAGAATCCAAGTGAAACAGCTGTGGATATAATTGGCCAATATTACCCATACAGATATAAGAGTTTGGCGTAGCAAGATCCAAACTATTGGTTCCAATTTTCAGGCATAAGTGGATCTCGTGTCCCTAAAATTAAGACAGATCATTTACAATAAGCTTTCTTTCAAGAAGAGTGGATAATCAGAAGACAGAATGACAAAGATCAGGGCCATTATGACTTCAGTTATCTTGGGTTCAAGGTACAGTTTAAGGAAGTGACTTAACTGCTGTAAGTTTTCATTTCCTTGTTTTTAATAGGGAATAATTTAAGTTCTATAAGGAGATCACAAATATTTAATGAAAAAGCTAACATCCTTGAGAAATATCTCTTTTATTTTTCCTATTGTCACCCTCTCTCAATGTGTGGTCATTTGCTGAGGACTGACCATCACAACAGTGTCTCACCAGTCTTTGATGCAAGAGCTATGCTTTATAAAGCAAGAGTTTTCAGATGTCCATTGATGAGTTTGTCTTCAGACACTCCAAATGTTTCTCATCAGCTTTGACCCCAGTAACAGCTAAAGGTAGCTTGTTCTGTCCTAGCCAGCTCTCTATACTACTTTCTCCTGGTTCTCATCAGTACTAGAAAGAGATGAATGAGCTAGTCACATCAGGACACTCTGATTCTTTTGTAGTTGGTCCATTCGTTGTGGTCTAGAGCTTTAGAGAAAGGTTGTAACTTCTTGCTCTTTGTTAGTGTTAAGAAGTTGACTGTGTCTTCAATAAATATATAGTCTCTTTCTGTACCTTGTTAGACAGAAATATAGAGTAAACAGGGTTTTTTTTTTCTTTACAGCTGTATAAAAAGACTTAGAGGTTCCCACTTGTGATGTTAACAAATCAATCAATGCATTTCCTATAGCAAATGGATAAAATGCCCCTTCATGCAGTGCTGACTGCTGACAAGGCTTCCTTTCCTCTCCATCATGAGAACTTTAAGGGTCCAGGAATTCTGATCTATAAAATGTTGTATCCCAAGACCAGAGAGATGGTACAGGGCTGAAGGTGCTCATCTTATTTTTAACCAACCCAGTTGGGCTTTTAGCATCAGATACAGTCCCTCAAGCACCACCAGAAATCATCCCTTAAGAAACCAAGCATGGCCCAAACACACACACACACACACACACACACACACACACACACACACACGCATACCTTTAAAATGTTGCATTCAGATATGCTTTCTTCTTGTTCCAATTTAAGACAAGATTGGTTTACTTGATTTGCTTTGCTTCCACCTGTAGGCATGGTTCAATGTTACACTATTTGTGCTTAGGGTAAAGTTTGATGGACTCTCAAATGAGATAGAATAAGATTGTTATTATGTTGTTAGCTAGGGACATCTACCATGGATTACATGTTTTAGTCATCTGTCTCCCCCTGCCACAGCGGCAGGGTGGGACGGGGGTGGGGTGGGGATGGGGGGTGGGAGGGATGCTAGGACCCGTGGTGGGGGAGGATGGGCACTGGTGGAGGGATGGGTACTTGATCATTGTATAACTGAAACCCAAGCACAAAAATTTATAAGTCTATAAGTGTACTTCATGGTGTTTCACTAATAAAAAAAAGATAAAAAAATATTTGATAAACAAATGCAGTAAAAATAAAATGAAGAAGTGAAAAAAAAATTGCTAAATTTTAGCATGATGAAAATGTTAGAAAGAACATGTTTAACCTGTGAAGTTAGAGGTGCTTTTGTGAGCAGAAGCCCTTGCAGTAGCTGTAAGCAACTTTTCACTTAAAAATCCATGATAATGGGCATTGGTGGAGGGATGGGTATTTCATCATTGTATAATTGAAACCCAAGCACAAAAATTTGTAAGTCTACAACTGTACCTCATGGTGTCTCACTAATAAAAATTAAAAAAATAAAAAAATTAATAAAACAATTCATGATAGTCAGGTTTCACAAGGATTGAACAATTATTTTTTTAACCATTTCAAGAATGTATTAACTTTTTCAAGAATTTATTGTTATTTCATCAAAATCATCACAGTTTTCCAATTGTATAAATGTGTTTTGTTCTGTTTAAATCAGTAGCTTAAGTATTGCTCCCAGATGGATTATTATGTCCCTAGAAATTTCTTGTTCATAGATTCCTCTGCCCCGTACACTTGTACTTTTGGGTGAAAGGATCTGGATTGTTTATTGTAGATTTTGACACTCTGCATTTTGCTGGGTGCTTTTCTTTGCACCCAGCAAATGTGTGTTTGTGTTCCTTATAATTCTTGTCGGTTGAGAGTTATGTCTAGAGGTTTGGAGATTCAGGTTTGAATTTGATGTCTGTGAAGCAATTT